TACCTGTAGCTATGCCTAGAGGGTTCGTTCTCCAAGAAGTGAATGGTGGGGTAGTGAAGGGCCCTATAATAAAACCATTCTCAATTTCTTTATTGAGAAGTACCAGCAGACTAGTCGGGTCTGTAGGTGCGGAAAGCCAGTGTGATACCCATTGGAGAAACCAGAGGTAAGGAAGTCGACAAGATTTGAAGAAGGATGATCAGTCAAGTAACGTTGCAAATTGGGTATCTTTGTTGGAGGTAATGATTTTTGGGGGGAACAATTTGTTTGGACACATCGTTTTAGCATGTGCTCTAAAACAAAGTGAGCAAACATGAAGAAGTCTGCAGGTGCTATAACTACATCCCCCCGCATTGAAATTATTACACACTTGGGCTTTCCCTAGAAAAATGGCCTGCTTAATTTATCTTTCAACTCTCTTTGAGACATATTTGGTTGAAACTCTGAGTTGGCATTGCTAGTGGAAGGTAAAGCAATGTCGTTGGGACAGCAATTTACCGTATGAGAAGCTGAGGAACATATTGCACAAGCTGGTGTTTTAAGTCCCGCAAAATGTCTACAAAACAATTCTGTGTCTTATTGGCACCAGTCAGTAGGGGTATTGAATTCAGCCAGTGACTTATGATAATTGTAGAACGCATAGCCTCCGCATTTATAAGCAAGGTTCACTAGCTTGTGCAAGTATAAATCTAGTTCCTCTCTACGGAGGGGAAAAGAAAAGCAAATAATGTCCTTATATAATCCAAAAGCTAAAACAAATTCTGGAATATTTAACTTTGAAATTTTCTGGAATGAGATGTACTGGATTAATGATATTTATATTTTTAGCGGGTAGAGGATTAGAGTTACCTCGTGTGCTTGGTTCTGGCTGAGCTATGGGAAGTTAGACATCCGGGATGATTGTTTGGTTAGTGGATTCCAGATTATCCAACTGGTTGTTAATAGTGGCTACAGAAGCCACTAGAGAGGATACCATGCAGTTCTGACAAACTGTTTTGGATATTACATTCAGAACTACGGACATGCCTTTCATTATCATTATGCGTGTTTAACATGCAGAAAAGTTCAGCTTTCCTGGCTGAGGCAGGAAAGGGAATGTTCTTTCTTTTAAGTTTAGCCGTAATTTTTGGAATTGTCCAAGATCTGTAGCTGGACGCTGGGCTGGCTACAACAGTTTGCCTCGTCTGGGAATTAGACCTGGTCGGGGTGCTGATAAGCGACAGGCCATCTCCTTGTAGTGAAGCATTAGACATGCTATGGGTGTGAAGTAAATTACTTGGTTATTATGATATCCTGATAGGTATGAAGTAACCCAGATAGTTAGATTTAATGTCCAGAGGTGAAATTATATTATTCTAACTAATTAAGTGACAAGTGACGCCCTAAGTAATTGACAAGTGGCTTTGAGAGGCTCTACCTATGATTTGGCTCGTGGGGGCTTTTTTTGATTCCACAGACATAAGTGTTGGCCTCTCAGTGACATTTACCAGATTTAAGATAGACTGGCCATGACAGGTGAGGCCCTGACTATGACACAATGCACGGTGCTAACTGTGCATTGGGCCATTGGGCTTGTACTTCCGAGCATTTGGATGGGAGTTGGCCTTGTGGCACCGCTCAACTTAAGGCAAAGAGGCCAATGAAGAAATTATTCCTAATTGGCGAGGACGTTATATAAAAGGTTACTTCGTTGCTAGTTTTTTTTTTTTTTTACACGTACCTGCTTCTGAACTGGTAGGGCGTATTTGATAAGATGACCCCCATGTGCTCCTTAAACATATTACAATTAATAAGTTATAACCTTAGCCCCCAGAAGTAGTTATAGACGTGAGATTTTGCTAGATACTATGAGAAGTACATTGTACCAACAGATGAGAGAAACGTTTAACGAGAATAAAAAGGATAGAAGGAGGAAAAAAAAAATACTAACCAATTTTTGTTATTTAGGTTGAAATAGGAGAGCTTGGACTTGCCCTTGGAAAGCGTGTTAAACTTGAATAACTATTTATGGAGGGAAACAAAAGCTGGAACTTGTATTATTAATAGTCCTTTGTTATAAACAGATAAAATGACTGAGAAAAAACAAAATTAAGGGATAGGGAAAGAGTAAACTAGAGAATTACCTATTTATATAATCTCTGAGTTAAGTTTTATAACTGGATGACGGTATACCAATACCTGTAATCATATTATTTTGAAGGGAAGGGGAAAAAACCAAAAACTTTAATCTATTTAACTAGAACTGGCATAATTTGAGTTTCAAAAATTCTGTTCTGATTAATTTTACTACTTTCTTTTTAAACAATATTTTTATACAGGCATATAACAGAATAAATAATAATAATAAAAGAAAATTCGACCTGAAATCCACTTAAGAGATTTGTCAGCCATTTGCTAAGCTGCGCAGGAAACATTAAAGCCGGCCACCGCGGGGAGCATGGAGACGGCATGCGAGGGACCAGTACATTCCTGCAGTTCCTCTCTGATCCCTTGCACACTGTTTAGTGACATGATGTCACTCTGGCCCCGGCATCACTACATAGAGCATGCAGGGAGGCAGAGAGAAACTGCAGGAAGATTGACAGGAGACAAACTGTACACCAGGAAAAAATCCACTCAGCTCTCCCAAAGGCATGGAGGCTGTGTGGATTTAAATAAAAATAGCAATTTTTTAGTGTGTGAGAAAATGTGTGTGTGTCTCAGTCAGTGTGTGTCTCAGTCAATGAGTGTGTACCGTCACTGTGTGTCTGTCAGAATGTGTGTATGTCTGTTAGTGTGTATGTCTGTTAGTGTGTGTCTTAGTCAGAGATACGAGGAAGCTGCTGCACAGTGGCGGAACTAATGTATAGTGGGCCCTGGTGCAAAAAACAGTTTTGGGCACCTGAAGACACATGCCTATCAGGTGGCCCCAATTGCATGGGCCACTCGATGGGCCCTTGGTGTAACCACAACACCAGCACTGCCTGTAGTACCACTACTGCGCCTTCCTTTTTACAGGCAAGACACCTTTTCATGGAAACTGGAAAACCTTTTCAGGAGATGCAAGATAATTTTCCATGGTGTTTAGAAGGGGCTGTGGTGAAGTGTGTGTTTATAGTACTGTTTATGGTGTACTATGTGTAGCTAGGGGCTGTAGCACTTCCTTATGTATAGATGCTGTTGAGATTGTGTGTGTGCTGAAAAAAACTGTAAAGTGTGTGTGTGTGCATCTAGGGGCTGCATTGTGAGTGTATGTGTATTGGGGTTGCATTGTGTGTGTCACATATTCATCTGCACATAAAAATGTGATTAATGGCATTTACTGTCCTGAGTGCTTAGAAGCAATCAATCCACGGGAGGGTTTGTGCTGAGCAGCAATCATGCAAATAGGAACCTGGTAACTGCCTTTGGGGTCAAAGGCCGGTTATAACCAATCAGATCCACAAGCGGGATATTTAGGCCCAGTTCTCCTCTTGCTCTGTGCCCTGTCGTGGCTTCCCTTGTGGTTGTCCGAGAGCGCGTTATTGATTCTGTTTTTTCTGGTTATCGTTGTGTCTCTTTCTGTATCCCTTGACCTTGGCTATTTCTGACTATTCTTTGGTACGTTAGTCCGGCCATTCTAAGGTCCGGTATACGTTACCTATCAGAATAGAGTAGTGTAATGAGAATATCCTAAGCGTGAATGTGCATCAAGAAAAAGATCAAACATGTTGATCAAGATACCATACACTAAATATATGTGACAACCAATATCACAAAATTGCCAAGTGATACTCTAAAGCCCCCAAAAATACAAGTGACCATAACTACTGACGAATAGTAGTCTGTTACAAACAGACAAAAACAAACATGTGGTTAGGGATACTGTAGTTACTGTACATGTATGACAACTAATGCTGCAGAACTATTAAGTAATACTGCAGATAACTGAGAAAAATACCTATAAGAATAAATAACTGACCATAAGGACTGTTCAAAAATACTGGTCAAGAGTATACTTATTGTAGTGGAGGAGGTTAAAAATGACTTGGCCTTGGTTAAGGAATCTATCAATAAGGTAGAAGCTGTGAGTACAACTACCCTTACAGATTCAACTTCAACGCAATACATGATTAAACTGCAGAATGAAATCATGAGGTATAGAAATGACCTGATAAGGTTTAAGAAACATAAACGAGAATAAGTTAACTTTGACTATACCCACCACCAGGTGTACTACTGGCTGAGTGACGAAAGACGTAAACCTAATTTTACTCGCCAGAAGCAGAGGGTACATAAACCAGAGTTCCTGAGTATTGATACAAGCTCAGCTAAATACACATCTGAAACAGAATGCACAGACACATCTGGCAAAACTACTGGTACTACACGTAGGAACCAATTGTCAGTTTTAGACAGAGGTCAACATACCAACGATCCCCCTATGCCATCCACATGCAGAACCAGAGGAGACGAAGACTACGACCTATCAAGGGGAGCCTGAAGGGGAAGATCTGCAAGCTCCCAATCCAACCCGCCCATAAAGAAATAACCAATCCGGTATTTAATTTATCTTCCAAGAATTTGACCTCTGATCATATCAAGATTCTATCTAAGGGACTAACCTTTGTGCCGACAACAAATCCGAACAAATTTAACATGGAAGTTGAGTTGTATAGGATGAACAGAACCCTAAATCTTAATACCACCAGGGATCGGTGGGAAAATAAGGAAAAACATCCTTTCAGGTTGAAGAACACATGGGAACCTAAAACCACACACTCTTCTGTTAAAACTTTTGTCCAACTTGTTCGATCAGACACTGAACATATTCTTAAACAGCACACCCTTAAAGGAGACAAACTAATGAAGAATAAAAGAGCATCATTGAAGGATTTAAAGGATGATGACAGTATCACTTAGACCCACTGATAAAGGGGGAGCTATTGTGATTCAGGACTATTCTGATTATAGAACAGAAAGCTTGGGACAATTACCAGATATTAAAACATATCAGCCCACCAACCACCTGCACAGACAAGATGCTGCAAGCATTTGTGACACGAACGCAACTAACAGACACGTGGAGAACACCCCACCACCACCTTTTTTTCACACCCCCACTTCTCATACTCACGCATCGACATGTTCCTCAAATCCCCCTCCCTACTCCCCCATGTCATAAACGCATCGATAGGCTCGATCACGTGGTCGGACCACGCAGAGATTCTCCTTCAATTCATCATCCCAAACACCACCAAAACATGGTCCTGGTGACTCAACCCAATACAACACAGCCATCAAGGAAGCCATCCGACAAGACATCACCAATTACTTTGATCTCAACAAAAACTAAGTCACCTCTGCGGGCACCCTATGGGCTGCCCGTAAAGCCATCATCAGAGGCAAACTAATTGCGGCGGCTACAGTGTACAAAAAGCAACAACTAACACAACTCGAAGCACACCTCACAGCCCTCAGAACCACAGAACTCCTGCATAAAACGAACCCTAGCCCCACCCTGATGGCCCAACTGCAAACACACAGACAAGACGTACAAAATTCATGGCACACGACTCTAAAAAAGTGCTCCAATGGACGAGACAAATGTTTTACGAAAAATCGAACAAGGTAGACACACTGTTAGCGCACAGGCTACGCCAGCGACAAAGAGCCAAACACATAACCCAAATAAAAACACGGAACTCCTACCACACCTTCTAACACTATTTACCTCCATCATGGACGGAGACCCCCCCCAGACATGTTACGGGCAAACATATGCCTGATCCCGAAACCCGACAAAAACCACCAAGACCCAGGCCACTACAGACCGATCTCATTACTAAACACAGACATCAAAATCTTTACAAAACTGTTAGCCAACCGACTGCATCCATTCCTCCCCAAACTGATACACCAAGACCAGGTGGGCTTCATCCCATACCGCCAGGCATGCAACAACACTAGGAGAAGGCATTCGACTGCATCCTCTGGCCGTACCTATTTGCAACCCTCGGTAAAATGGGCTTTCCAGCGACTTTCATAGACCTGATCAGGGGATTATACTCCCAACCCACCGCAAACCTCCTCATCCCGAACGCCCAACCCCCCAACTCTAAGATCCGCAATGGCACACGACAGGGCTGCCCCCTTTCCCCTCTCCTCTTCGCCCTATCCCTGGAACTCCTCCTCCAGACAATCCGACAGAACAAAGCCATAACCGGCATCAAACTCCAGGGCGAGGAATACAAAGTAGCAGCCTACGCGGACAATCTACTGTTGACACTGACAGACCCCATATCCTCCCTCCCCCTACTACTGGCCCTCCTAGACGACTATGCAAAAGTGTTGGCTACAAATTAAACCTCAGCAAAACAGCCCTGCCAATCCACATCCCAACCAACACGCTAGCAGCACTCAAATCAGAATACCCATTCAGATATGAACTGCAATGCATACATTACCTAGGAACACGCTTACCAGCAGATCTACACTTATCTACCCACTCAACTACCTCCCACTGCTAACTAAAGCGACCCAAGACTTAGACATCTGGCACCACCTCTCCATCTCCTGGCTGGGCCGCCTGGCATCAATAAAAATGAACCTACTCCCTCGCTTCCTATACCTCTTTCAGGCCCTACCCATATCCATATCCAAAACAGACTTCAAATCACTACAGACTCGTATTGATAAATTCAAATGGGCGGGGAAAAAAGCAAGGATAAAGAGAGCAATGGTGTACATCCTGCATAAGATAGGGGGATTAGAGTGCACGAATGGCCCGGTGTTCGGTAGTTTTACCTGACTGTATTATACCCCAGATAGGAATCCCAAGGAGCTCATTCGTATGAGAACTAACTTTGTAAAGACTTTGGCTCCATGGCAATTGAACTGTATTCGTGTGGTCTGAGCGTCATTTGCTTAATAATGTGCGCTCAGACCTGAGCTATCTGGGGATATGTTAAATGTATGCTTTTAATGTAACTTGTGTCACATAGTATATTTTAATAGTAATTCTTGTTTTAGTATCCCCACGTGCATAATGGCGATTTGCCTTTGTCCTGGGAGATAATTGAATTACTTCTCAATTATCTCCAGGGCAGAGGAGAGGAAGTCAGGATGCATTGTGGGAATACAATGTGACTGTGTGTCCTATTTGTCTACTTGTCTCTCCCTTGTCACAGTCTCTCATTTGGTCCCCTACGGGAGTGTCCACCAGGTAGGAGACCTGCATAAATACTGGGCAGGTAGCCCTCATTAAACAGACCACTGCTTGACCCTCAACACGGAGCCTTGTCTTGTCTTTGGGGGGATTTACTGAATGCTGATAGAGACTGATTGCTAGGAGTGTAAGCCGCTCGGGTGCTTTTCTTATTCGTCTGCTAGCAGCGATTCGTATGGTTCCAGTTCGTGTGTTTGGAGTGCTATATTGTATGCCGTTTGGGAGTTTGGAGCATTCCCTTATTGGCGGTTCGTGAGTTTGGTGTTCTACAGTAGCTGTGCCTGCATCTCTGAAAGGGGACGATCACCTAAATGGTTTTAACCCTTTGTGTGCAAAACGGTCCGTTACAACCTCTGTAGATCATAACCCTCCCTACCCAAAAGCCCCCCCTGCATCCCAACCTGCCCTCCCCCCCTTCCCACCAACTTTTTTTTTCTTTCCTTTTCTCTCTCTCTTCTTCTCCCTTCGACCCCACTCTCACTCCCCCCTCCTCCCCCTGCACCTTCCCCCACAAACTCACACAGGCACCACAAGACAACGAATGGACGAGACACGCTCCACCGACAACAAAATGGCATAATCCCCTCCCCTGGAAACATACAGCACACAACATACAACACAAAGACAGATCCTTAACACCCCCTTCCTGCTCAGACAAGCTAAAAGCAGCCCCAAAACAGAGGGGCCCAATTTCAATGGACACCCGCAAGGAAGGAGCTCACACTACGCCCCCACACTTAGCCCCCACTGCTAAGACCAGAAATATCCACCGCGACTAGTTTAACACCCCGACCCTCAGAACAACCCTAAAAACACACAACAGACCCACTGTACCAAAGCCCGAATACCCATCCCCCCCATGACAATGGATACCAGCGGAAGGAGAAAGAGAACTGAAACCGTACCCTAACGCGAAACGCACAATAACCCCACCTAACGCCCTAAATTCCGTACCCAACAAGAACATTTAAGACATAACACGACACTGTTAAGACGGCTGTTGTATGAAACCGATGATGACCAGACTCAGACTTCCTGTCATCAAAACCAGATAGGGTACCCCACTCCCCTCCCACTCCTATTCTGTACCCCTCCCCAAACCTTAGACCTAGAACAGTAACAAATGATATGGACAGAGTAATATTATATAAGCAAACGATCGCTACTGTAACTAGAGAAGAAATGTTATAAAAATGTTCTATATGTTACAAACAACATAACTAAGTTCTACGAACTCTGTAACACTAACCTCACTCCCATGTTTTCTTCTGTACCCTAACCCCGGCATACAGGGAGTGCAGAATTATTAGGCAAATGAGTATTTTGACCACATCATCCTCTTTATGCATGTTGTCTTACTCCAAGCTGTATAGGCTCGAAAGCCTACTACCAATTAAGCATATTAGGTGATGTGCATCTCTGTAATGAGAAGGGGTGTGGTCTAATGGCATCAACACCCTATATCAGGTGTGCATAATTATTAGGCAACTTCCTTTCCTTTGGCAAAATGGGTCAAAAGAAGGACTTGACAGGCTCAGAAAAGTCAAAAATAGTGAGATATCTTGCAGAGGGATGCATCACTCTTAAAATTGCAAAGCTTCTGAAGCGTGATCATCGAACAATCAAGCGTTTCATTCAAAATAGTCTACAGGGTCGCAAGAAGCGTGTGGAAAAACCAAGGCGCAAAATAACTGCCCATGAACTGAGAAAAGTCAAGCGTGCAGCTGCCACGATGCCACTTGCCACCAGTTTGGCCATATTTCAGAGCTGCAACATCACTGGAGTGCCAAAAGCACAAGGTGTGCAATACTCAGAGACATGGCCAAGGTAAGAAAGGCTGAAAGACGACCACCACTGAACAAGACACAAGCTGAAACGTCAAGACTGGGCCAAGAAATATCGCAAGACTGATTTTTCTAAGGTTTTATGGACTGATGAAATGAGAGTGAGTCTTGATGGGCCAGATGGATGGGCCCGTGGCTGGATTGGTAAAGGGCAGAGAGCTCCAGTCCGACTCAGACGCCAGCAAGGTGGAGGTGGAGTACTGGTTGGGGCTGGTATCATCAAAGATGAGCTTGTGGGGCCTTTTCGGGTTGAGGATGGAGTCAAGCTCAACTCCCAGTCCTACTGCCAGTTCCTGGAAGACACCTTCTTCAAGCAGTGGTACGGGAAGAAGTCTGCATCCTTCAAGAAAAACATGATTTTCATGCAGGACAATGCTCCATCACACGCGTCCAAGTACTCCACAGCGTGGCTGGCAAGAAAGGGTATAAAAGAAGAAAATCTAATGACATGGCCTTCTTGTTCACCTGATCTGAACCCCATTGAGAACCTGTAGTCCATCATCAAATGTGAGATTTACAAGGAGGGAAAACAGTACACCTCTCTGAACAGTGTCTGGGAGGCTGTGGTTGCTGCTGCACGCAATGTTGATGGTGAACAGATCAAAACACTGACAGAATCCATGGATGGCAGGCTTTTGAGTGTCCTTGCAAAGAAAGGTGGCTATATTGGTCACTGATTTGTTTTGTTTTTGAATGTCAGAAATGTATATTTGTGAATGTTGAGATGTTATATTGGTTTCACTGGTAATAATAAATAATTGAAATGGGTATATATTTGTTTTTTGTTAAGTTGCCTAATAATTATGCACAGTAATAATCACCTGCACACACAGATATCCCCCGAACATAGCTATAACTAAAAACAAACTAAAAACTACTTCAAAAAATATTCAGCTTTGATATTAATGAGTTTTTTGGGTTCATTGAGAACATGGTTGTTGTTCAATAATAAAATTAATCCTCAAAAATACAACTTGCCTAATAATTCTGCACTCCCTGTAAATGGAAAAATTTCAAAAATAAAGAATTAAAAAAAAAACAACATATCAGCAAATCACTTACGATCCTACTTCAGCTATATTGGAGAAATTGAAAGCATTAGTAAAACATGGTTTGGAATCAGGATGGCTAGATGAATATACAGCAACATATTTGAGAATCCCAAGATACCCATACTATACCCTGCCAAAGGTCCACAAGGACCCTGCTAAACCACCAGGAAGACTGATCGTTTAGGCCCGAGTGGGTGTATTGGAGCCACTGGTGAAATACTTTCAATGGGGCTCCAATGGGATCAGTCATGGCACCAGCATATGCGAATTGCTTCATGCATCTGTTTGAA